GCTCCCCCCACCCCAGAAAATGTTCAACACCCTCTGACCTCCGTCCTCCCTACATCCGGCGCAACCCCGACATCCGCCAACCGCCTCCCAACTGATCATCCGCCCGCAAATCCAACCGTGGCACCCGTCCTCCCACCCTCGTGCACGAAGCGGCCCTCGCCCGTACAACAGCTCACGCTGCGCGGCGTCTCGGACCGCTTCTGGGTGTTCATCTCGGACCTGTTCACGCACCAGACGGCCTTCTTCGACGAGGCCGTCGCGGGCGAGACGCGCAACGCGACCTACCTGCGGCTGGCGAAGCTGGCGCGCGAGAGCGTGGGCGTGGACGAGGATGAGATGTATCAGCTGTTGGAGGTGAAGCAGCTGGATGGGGGCAAGAATGCGAGGAATAAGGTCACGGCCGACGTTAAGACCGTGGTGAAGATGGCGAGGTTGACGGGGGTGCATGTCACGCCGACGGTGCTGTTTAATGGGGTGGTGGTGGCCGAGATTGGGAGCGCGTGGACGGGGGAGGACTGGGAGCAGTGGTTGGATTCGAATATCCCGTGATTTTTGGGAGTTGGAGGGGGGGAAGGGGGGTCGTGGTGTTTAGGGGGGGGAATTGTTTGTCGGGGCGGGCAGGCAGGCAGGCTGAAAGATCGTTTTCATTTCTGGTCGGGACTAGCTGCCTACCTACCGGCCTACCTACCTACTTAGCTCAACGCGCGCGCATGCTCTCTCCCTGCGTCTCCCCACTCTATGTGCGATTATGCAGATGTAAAATGAACTCAAACAGCCAGAGCCAACAAAATATGCGTTTGGATGTGAACCGTACACCACCTTGACACCAGGTCTCTAGACAGGAGCAAGTAAAAAAAGAGAGATGGGGGGCAAGGGAATATTTACACACAGGGGTTGAGCCCCTTACAGACGATCCAGCTTCCGCCGCAAGTTCCGCGTCTTCTTCATCAGCTTCTTGTACTTCTTCTTCTTCATGCGCAGCTTGCGCTGCCGACGCACGCTGATGGCCTGCATGGTGCGGCCCTGGTGGCGGCGCGACTCGTCGTACCGCAGCTGTCGCCACAGCATGCGCTCCAGGAAGGACTGTGGCCGCTCGGTCGCCCCCTCCTCGACCAGCTCCGGGCTGTGCGCCACCACCTTGACCTGCCCGTCGGCGTCAACCGTCTCCTCGATGGTCACCATGGCCTTGTACACGCGCGTCTGGGCGTCCTGCGGCTCCGCGAGCTCCTCGGCGATGGCGCTGTTGGCCGACTCGGCATCGATGGCAGTCTCGGCGAGCGGCTCGGGGGCCGGGGGTGGGGCGTAGGGCAGGTACTGGCCAGCCATGGGGTTGAGCTGGATGTGGAGGTTGGTCTCGGAGCCGTCGCTGTGCTTTAGGCTGAGCTTCGCTGTCCCCTCCTCGGCATCGTGGGCCTCTTGCGACCGCTGCTTGTCTCCGTTGGCAACGTTCAGTTTCGACAGGGGCTCCTCCAGGTCAGATACCGTTTGTGAGAGGGTCGAGAGCACGTCGGCGACTCTGTTGTTTCGAGTCCGCGTGGCGAATATCCGGGCAAAGGCGTCGTCGGATACGGACTTGGGCATGAGCTGCGTTACCGAGATGGGCCGGTGGAGGGCGAAAAAGGTGGAGAGGGCGAGGCCTGCCGGCGTGTTAGAAGGTTGATTCACGCAACAGCACTCAAGTGTGACAATACAAACCTTCATCTCCAATATGCCTAGTACTAGGAACGCTGGGGGGTTGTGGAGCCGCCGCTTTTGCTTGCCCCTTGGACTTTTCTGTCTTGGAGCTTCGTGATGCGGGAACCGGGCGAGCGGCGAAATCCTTGGAGCCGTCGTCCGGGCTCGACGGTTTTGATGACGAGTAACGGCGCTGTTGAAAGCCTGTCGGCCTGTACGAGAGGCTGTATGAGGCAGCAGCTCGCGGGACGGACGAGGACAGGGAGGAAACGGTGGGCGACTGAGGCGTCGCAGCGACGACACGGCGCACGGATGAGGGCAGCATGGTGGGGGATGCCGCCTCAGGCGGAGCAGCACGAGTTCGCCTATGCGCAGCTCTCCTTTGTAGGCTCAAGACACCGACTGGAGTGGTGTGGGCGGCGTGCTGGTCGAAATTGGTGCCGAGATGTTGATGGTTGGAGATCACCAGTCACTCCTCGTTCGAGAATCAACGGTCTCGCCAAACTCGGTTGAAGTCCTTGTTGGCCGTTTTCGCCGCACGAAAATGGGTCGCCCAAGGCTTGGCAGAGGTACGTCCTTTTAGACTGGTCTGTGCGTAGGTCGGGTTAAGTGTGATGTGGAGGGGGAGGGAACGATAACCGATAAACAGCAACAGAACAACAGAACTGGCATGGGAACAGCTTCAACTTCCTATTTCAACTTCCAAGTTGCAGGTCCCAGATGATAAACAACGACACAGTCGCTTATTGCCCCCCACTTCCCTCTCGCCTCGCCCCCGTACCTCTGCAATAATCGCGTCACGTGGCGTTTAGGTATTGCGGAGATGCTGCGCGGACACACCGACTTAGTTTGAGGCGTGCCATTGCCAAGAGCGCCAACCTCGAATCACCCGCGGGGTTACGTGCCCAGGTGCCATTGCACATCGCACTCCGCTCCTCTCAGTGTCACAATGTCACAGGCTCACGGAGAGAGCGAGAAGCTCAGCTGGCGTCTGAATGGATGGGAGCGTCCTAACTATGCTTTTCCTGGTGGGTAATCCATTTCCATCCATCCATCGGGCTTTGTGGACGTGGATGAATCTCATGGAGTGTCGAGATGCAATAGCTCGGCATAGAGAACAACTCAAGGAGCCGGCAACTTTCCCGAGATGGTACCTGGTCGCTCGCCCGCAGCGCCTGGCCAGACGCCCCCACCCGCCCCTGCATCCCGAACACTCCTCCCGCGATTCAGAGAAAGCACCAGGAACCCGAACCTCGTGATTCCGTCCTGCTTCCCATATTGGTGAGCAAATAACAGGCTCGTCCCACAGGCATGTGGTGATCGGCGCATGTTTCTGTTCCCAGTCAAAGCCTTAAACTGTGAAGTCGACTCCTTGTATCGCTCCTGTTGTGTTCTTGTTAGTCCGTTGTTCCCTTGTTTCTGCTGTTTAACACGTGTAGTCTGAAGGACCGGTCCCGGACCAGCCCTTCCAATCGATGTCAATCTACGGGGCCCCTGCATGACATCATGCGTGCTTCTGCGTACCCGACTGTACAGGGACACCAACCTGTTGTCGAACGACACGCTCATGGTCCACCCGGGGTTGTTCAATATTATACGGTCACATCTGAAGGGCGACTTGTGGTGGAAAATCTATAAGGCATGAAGTGGTGAGCGCCTGGGGAACCTGCTAAACTGGCTGGTCCAGTCATTGCTGCGGGAAATGGTGAATTACCATCTGTTCCAACAGGTTCCCCAACGGGAATCGGTTCTCGTTGCGAGACCCACGATCAGTTGCAGGGTCGGCTAGTCCGTTGAAATTGCGCCAAACTCAACCATCAAGGTGGCCCAGGAAAGTTCGTTGTTGCGCGCCTTCGCGATGAACCGATTATACAAGTCCGGGTGGGCTGTAGCAATGGCCTCCAGTGCGCACATGGTTGCGGCATCCTCAGTCATCTTCTAGCCCTTGGTTTGATCGAGTCTCTGGCGGAAGTAGTTCAGCCGATGTTGGAACGCGGAGAACTTGTTGTAGTTCTCTCTCTTGATCGTGAACAGTTCCCGGCATAATGAGTAATTGGCCTCATGGCTGTCCTCGTCGTCGAAGTATTGCGTCAATTTATCGAGGGTCGACTTCGGGTTCTGTTCCGTGATATCCCAGCCCATGGTCTTCAAGGTCGTCCACACCACTTGGTGAGGGACAGTCTTCTGGATGCAGTTATCGACGGCAGCTCTATCTTTCTTCCACTTCTCCTTCTCGGCGTTGTCCGCTGGTTCCGGGACCTCCCTGAGGATATGGTCGTGGAGATCGGCTCTCTTGAGGGCGCTGATCAGGTTGTCGGGCCACGTAGGGAAATCCTCCTCTTTCATGAGGTGGCTGGTCAGTGAGATGTCGTTCCTGTTTTGTTCTTCGATGCGCTTTCTTCTGTCTTGGTCCTCGGCGCGCTTCACCTGCATTGTTTTTTGAAACGCCTCCTGTTCCGTTTCTCTGCGATGCGATCTTACTGCGGCTTGACGAAAGAGAGGAGTGCTGTGCTAAGACTGAATGCTGATGAGGGCTCAAAACCTGTGGCAACACAGGGAAACGAGAAATATGTAAATCAATCTGCTGGTGTTACTGGCCGCGCTGCGTAACAGACCAAAAGTACGAGCGGCATTAGGTATTTAAAATGGTATTTGAAGGATACTGATCAAAAGGCAAGTGGCAGGTACCTGAACCCAGGTAGGTACTAGTTCAGATGGCATCCAATTCCGCAAGGACCTTGATTTTACTCTTCCTCTTGCCGTCCCAGGAAGCCAAGCCATCTCACTGTCTCTTCTCCAAAGCAAAGTAAACCTTCACCTGCACCTCGTTCGCCCACCCACTCTCGAGTCCCATTTCGTTCCACGCTGTCTCGATATCCACGTCGAGGACATGCTCATCCTGCTTGCTGACAGACGCAGTGTGAGGAGGGATCGGCTGCCCCTGGATAGTCACCATGAAGTCGTCATTGAGCGACAGCTCGGGAAGCGCCGAGATGTAAATGCCTACAAGAAGTCAGTATCACCAATTCTCCAGCACACAGTGCTAATCACTTACCCAACACCCCCAACGCCTTGACCGTTGCATCCACAACCATCCTCCCATTCTCACGAACCTCGAACACGGTTCTCAGCACCGCCGCGCACCCGGTCATCTTGCCCACCAACCCCAAGTTCGCAAGCAACACCTCCCCCCTCGTCCTTGACTGCACCGCATGCAGCGGATACGCACAGAACACATCACACCCCTTCCCCCCCAGCGAAACCGTCAGCATCGCCGCCGGCGACCCGACCTCCAGCGGGCGCGTCACCCGGCCCGTGGCATGCGAGCGCACCACATACCCGCCCCCCGCCTCCGCACCCCCCACACCCGGAAACCGCCCCAACGGCAACACCTCCGTAACCACGCCCCCCACCCGGACATTAAACACACCCACAATCCCCGTCCCCGTCCCCGCCCTTCCATGGTACGCACCCACCTTCAACAGCGCCGCCGCCGCCGCCCCGTCACCACCACCGCGGTACTCATTATACACATCCATCGCCCTGCCCGGCACACTCGGCCGGAAGACCACCGTCTTCCCGCGCGGCGTGGGGCCCGACACCGCCTTCAACAACGCCAGGTCATGGCGGCCGGGCACATCGGTCAGGCACACGGGCCCGCCGCCCACGCAGCGCGCGGCCGCGTGGAAGGTTGCCCAGCTGCTCTCACCACCGTCATCGCCATCTCCGTCGTGGCGGGTGGTGGTCTGGAACATATCCCAGTCCGGGACGACGTTGAGGTGCTGGGCAAGCAAGGCGTTGTGGGCGGCGGCGAAGACGTGCCAGGGGTGGGCGGGGGGGACGCCGGGGAAGAAGTCGTCGGAGATGCGGCAGGCGATGGTGGGCCGCGTGTGGGGGAGGAGGGAGTGGAAGAGGGTGGGCGGGGTGAGGGACATGCACGAGGTGACGTGGCCGCTGAAGTGGCGGAGGGAGGCGGATGTCCAGGCGTCGAGGTAGGGTTTGGTGAGGGCGCGGCGGGTGGGCGGGTGCGGGAGGGTGTCGAGCATGTATTGGGCGTCGGTCTTGACACCGTCGATGCCGCTGGTGGTGAGGAAGGTGTAGAAGTCGTTGTAGAAGGTTTGAATGGAGGATGGGGCGATGATGGTCATGGTGTTGTTGATGGGAAGTTGGGACTTTTCGGGGTCGTCGCGGGTCACCTGGATGGTTTTGTAGCGCTTGCTGAGCGGGCCGGATGGGGAGAGGCCGCCCCAGTAGCCTAGTAGGGCGTGCCAAACCGCGATGTACCGGATGTTTTTGTGTTTTGAGCGAATATCAGAGACGAGAGCTTTGAGGCCCCTGGGAAAGGCCTTCGGTTCGGCTTCGAAGTCGTTCCACCCGTATTGCCACTGGCCGTCACCGCGGTAGTCGATGTCTTGCCAGTTGTCGTCAATGATAAGGTTGGATATCCTGATGTTGTTCTCTGCTAGAGTGTCCAGTGCCTTCAGAACCTTCTCTTCGGTTAGCTTCTGGCCCAGAGAGTTCCAGGTGCCTAATGATGGTAAGGTCAGAATAAGCGATATTACGAAAGGTAAGTAGGAAGGCCGCCAACTCACAATATCCCAAACCGTCGTACCAGTTTTCATACCACTGGGCCCCGACATCACCTTTCGGTATGGTCTCGGCCACAGTTTGGGTGGCAGATGCACTCGTTCCCATGACCAAAGAACGGGCGTGGTACATGACAGCAGCAATCGTGCTCTCGAAATCATCCCCGATTGCTGCTAGGGCAGTCCCCGTCGCTGGTTCCGCGTTGTCACTCCGAATCTAGACGAACATTAGCCCTACCGCAGTCATGATTTCGGGGTTTACATACATGGAGCGTCAAGCCGCCGGAATCACCACCTCGGAACAAGGTGGTGACATCGTTGATCCCACTCATCCCGAGAAAAACCATGTGCTTGCCTTGGGCGGAAAGAAATGAACAAAGTAAGGCATCTTTGTCGGGGCCAAACTCTGACTTTCCTTGCCTTGGAGCAAGCCAAGGGGTCGAGGTCCTGACCAAAGCAAACCACCTGCTGGTGATTAGTTTTTGTTGAGAAGTCACTCAGCAGCAGGTCGGGGAAAACCCATAAATCCCCCTTCTTGTTAGTCCCTTACCTGAGAAATCGACCCCATGGAATACCGACCGGAGTTTGGTGAAATGTCGATTCGTGCCCCTTTGCCCCTTCTACGTCAGCCTCGATGGACCATAGTCGAGTCCTGGGAGTTTGGCTCAGATGGCTCTTCCACTTGAGGTCTGGGTTGAGATTCGGAATCAGGTCCGGCAACTGCTCGGGGTCGCCCTCCCGTGTTGGCTTCTGGTTAATCACAACCACCCCATCGTCTGAGTGTTGCTCATCGCGGACCCATCGCCACTCCTCAGCACCAGTCCGTCTCCGGAACTTGATTGTAAAGGTGAGCGAGGAACGGACGACTAATTTAGCTGTGAAATACAGCCTTTCGGTCGTCCCCGCGGGTTGGTGTAGGTCTGTGGGCTGACCATCTGGTTGACTCAGGATACACTCCGTCTCGACCCATTCCGACCCATCACCGTTCAAGGACCAGAGAGTGAGCTGCCATGGCTCAGCCTTGAGTTCACAGGGGACCTCGAGAACGACATGGAATGTCACATCACCATCCTGGAGCTGCGTGACTTGGCCGAGGGGTGGGTATGCCGCGATAAAGGCCGTCATGTTTGTACATAGAAGTCGGGCTTCAGCCGGACCTTGGCTCGATGTGCACAAATAAGATGTCAGGAGTGGTGTGGAAGCTTGATGCCAGCGTTAGCATAGACGGCCTCGGACGAGGTATCAGTGCATAGCAATGTGGGTCAGAGACCAGATCAGAGGACTCGCCAAAGCTCAACCAGCATAGCCCAACGAGGAAGGCAGGTCCTAACCGATGAGCTAATTGGCGGGATATTACGGGGAGGTTAATGGTCTTGCGACGGCGGGAATCTTTGGGCTCGGAGCTGTGTTCAACCCGCACACCGGGGAAATTTTAAATGAATGGAGAGATGGGGTACAGGTAATGATATAAGTGCTTAGCTTGAAATGAGACGGCACTAGATGGACACTTGGGGGCGTGAGATAACTTGCAGATTCGAGCCTTGCAACGCCGGGGGATAACTACCTACCTACCTATGCTAAGCAGAGCATACCGCATCATCCATTATCATTCAAATAAGCGCTCCTTCCCTAATACATACTCGGACTCTCCTCATCGTAATTGTGGCACGATAAGAAAATAAATACATTTTCAGTGCTGTCATGAAGAGCTCAGGTCCCAGTGCAGGGGGGTGCTGGGGCGGGGTCAGGTGCAAGGAAGCCCGGAATTTTCTCTGGGCGTGGGTGTAATCGAGATTCTGAATATTACTTTGACCTCGAAACACGACACACAAGACCTGATGATATGGATGTTTATGGGATGGAGGTGACCTGTGAGAGATTTTATCGGCATCATTCTTAACAATTCTAAACACGATCTAAATAGACGAACCCGCCCACCCCTGCTTTTTATGTCCCAGCCTTTTCCACCTTTTCCCACCTACAAGTGAAATGAAGCCAACTCATTTACCCTTCGCAGCAAGGTACTCCACATCACCGATCTCCCTCAGCTTATTCCCCTTCTCAATGACCTGCTCCTCCATGTTGGCCTGGTACCGTTTCATCTTCTCCTGGTACTCGGGCATGGACGATCCCAGGATCCGGATGGCCAGCAGCGCGGCGTTGGTCGAGTTGTTGATCCCCACCGTAGCAGTCGGCACGCCTCTCTGTTGAACAACCAGTTTGGTTAGCTACTCACTCACAACAGCAATCTAACCTCCCCCCGTCCTTCAAAAAGGAGGGAAAGGAAAAGAAAAGAAAAAAAAAAAGGTAGAAAAAAGGCAGAGGAAAGAAAGAAAGAGACCCAACTGACCGGCATCTGCACAATACTCAACAAACTATCCATCCCATCCAAATGCGTCGCCTTCACGGGCACCCCAATCACCGGCAACGGCGTCTCGGACGCGAACATGCCCGGCAGGTGGGCCGCGCCCCCGGCCGCCGCGATGACGACGCGCACGCCGCGGCCCGCCGCTGCCGCCGCCACCTCCATCATGTACCGCGCCGTGCGGTGCGCCGACGTGATGTCCACCGCATACGGCACATCAAACTCGCGGAGGATGGCTAGCCCCGCGCTGAGTACGGGAAGGTCGGAGTCGGAACCCATGGTGATGAGAACGAGGGGGGCGGGAGTGGTTGAGGGGGTGGGTTGTGGGGTGGTGGTGGTGGTGGTGGTGGTGGTGGTGGTTGTGGGCCGGAGGGTTTCGGCGGAGGCGGTGAGGCGGTCGTGGCGGATTTGGTTGACTAGGTCGGTCAGGGGTTTTGCTTTGGTTTCGAGGTCGTGGATGGAGAGTGTGGTGCTGGTGAGGGTGATGTGGCCGATCTTACGGCCGGGCTTGGAGGCTTTGTTGTAGAGGTGTAGGTGGATGTCCATATCGTCGTCGAAGGTCTTCCGGGCTAGCTCGGCGAGTGGGAGATGGGCTGAGGGGGTGGCCCCCCCAAGAATGTTGAGCATAATGGAGGAGGCGACTCTGGGCGTCAGCTTCTGGGGGACGGGGAGGTCAAGGACAGCGTGTATTTGCGCCTTGTATTGCGACATCTGGGGGACTGCTTCGATGGTGTAATGGCCTGAGTTGTGAGGACGGGGGGCGACCTCGTTAACCATTAGAGAGCCTATGGGTATCAGTGAGAAGCTTTATTTTAGGGTATGGGTTTCCGTACCGTCTTCGAGAACAAACATTTCCACGGCAAACACACCGCGGCCCCAGAGCGTGCTGATCACCTCCGTTGCCAGCTTTCGGGCAGCCTCACAGACGGTCTCCGAAACATCTCGGGGTGGCATAAAAACCTTGGTGCAGATGCTGTCCTCGTGGATGGTCTCCACGGCGGGGTAAGCGACACAACTCTTGAGCGTCCCATCGTCGTCCTCCGTCCTGATGACCATGACGGCCAGCTCCTTGACAAAGGGGGCCCATTTCTCGGCGTACAGGCTCAGCCCCCCAAGCGCCTTGACTGCAGCTTCAAAGTCTTCCTCGCTGTCGACCTTGAAGTTGCCTCTCCCATCATAGCTGCCCTTCCGTGCCTTCAGCATGAAGGGGAGGCCGAATTTGGCGGCAGCGTTCTTGAGCGAGTTGAGAGCGGCTGGCCCCGACTCGATCGCGACCTGCTCCGCGATGGGGATGTTCTTGTCACTCGTACGGAAGTGCTCTTTTTGGAGGTACTTGTCCTGGATGAGGCGGATCGTCTTCCATGACGGGTGGACAGGGGGCTTATGAATCTTGGTGGTACCGTCGGCTTGCTTCACCTCGACGCCGTTCTTCTCGATGTCCTCGAGCACCTCGGTCTCGACATGCTCAATTTCGACTGACAGAAAGTCGGATTGGGCAGCCAGCTCCCGGATGCGAGCGGGGTCCTTGAACGAGCCGACAACATGGCGGTTGGTATTGTGCGCCTGCTTGGCGGGGGAATTTTCCTCGTCGAGAATGGCGATGTCGATGCCGAGTGGATTGGCCGCTTCACATAACATGCGCCCAAGTTGCCCACCGCCTAGCAGACCGATGACGGGATTCCTGTCGGCCGTCATATTTCCCCTCCTCTTTTTGATCTTCCGATCGCAAGATAATTCCGTTGCATTGGTGGTTTAGGGAAGTTGATTTGTGACCTTGTAAGTGGGACATGTGACGACCGAAATCGGGTGCAGAAACGGAATTTCAAAATGCCAAGATAATTTGCGGGGCAAAAGAGCTTCTATATCACGTGATAGGAGCTCGAACCAGCTTTGGCCCGGACGTTCCCGAGATAGGCCTTGGAAGTGAGGCAAAATTACGCTGCATACAGTAGTTTTTTGAATCAAGCGAGGAGCCAGGACTTTCCTTCAAACCGCTCATTTTCCAACCCCCCCCCCCTACACATCCGCGTCCATGGCGTCCCGGAGACTTGCTCTGAACCTCGCGCAGGGCCTTCGCGGCCGCGCTGGAGGTCTTTCTCTCCCCACCAAGCGAGGTCTCGCAACGCCGCACTCGTCGCCTGCGATCAAGACCGAAACCACAACACTCAAGAATGGCCTGACCGTGAGCTACCCCCCTGACAACCATTGACTAATTGGCCCTAGTCGCTAACTTCTGTCCCTCCTTCCAGGTCGCGACTCAGTACTCGCCCTATGCCCAGACCTCGACCGTCGGCGTGTGGATCGATGCCGGCTCCCGCGCCGAAACCGCCGAGACGAACGGCACCGCTCACTTTCTCGAGCATCTCGCCTTCAAGGTACGGATCAGCTCGCCGGCGCCTGCTGCAGCTCGAAGCATATTTTTTTGAGCACCCGACCGATGGTTCTGACTCGCGGAATAGGGTACCTCGAAGAGGACACAACACCAGTTGGAGCTTGAGATCGAGAACATGGGCGGGCACCTGAACGCCTACACCTCGGTCCGTCATGCCCCGCGTATTTGGTGAACCCCTCGTCGATCTCTAACCCCGGTAACAGCGCGAGAACACCGTCTACTTTGCCAAGGCTCTTAACGAGGACGTCCCCCAGTGTGTCGACATCCTGCAAGATATTCTCCAGAACTCGAAGCTCGAGGAGTCCGCTATCGAGCGCGAGCGCGACGTCATCTTGCGCGAGTCCGAGGAGGTGGAGAAGCAGGTCGAGGAGGTTGTGTTCGACCACCTCCATGCCACCGCTTACCAGGGCCAGTCCTTGGGCCGCACCATTCTCGGCCCCCGCGAGAACATCCGCGACATCACCCGCACCGAGCTCGCCAACTACGTCAAGAACAACTACACGGCTGACCGCATGGTCCTTGCTGGCGCCGGCGGTATCCCCCACCAGCAGCTCGTCGAGATGGCCGACCGGTATTTCTCCAAGCTTCCGTCCAAGAGCCCCGAGACCAGCGCCTACGCCCTGTCCAAGAAGAAGCCCGACTTCATCGGCTCCGACGTTAGGATCCGCGACGACACCATCCCCACCGCCAACATTGCGATTGCCGTTGAGGGTGCCAGCTGGAGCGACCCCGACTACTTCACCGCGCTGGTCGCCCAGGCCATCGTCGGCAACTACGACAAGGCCCTTGGCAACGCCCCCCACCAGGGCAGCAAGCTCAGCGGCATCGTCCACAAGAACGACCTGGCCAACAGCTACATGAGCTTCTCCACCAGCTACAGCGACACTGGGTAAGTCTAGGTTATGGGTCGCTATCTTATGCAAAGAGAGCGCCTGCTAATGTATTCGTGCAGTCTCTGGGGTATCTATTTGGTCACCGACAAGCTCGGATCCGTCGATGACCTGGTGCACTTCGCTCTTCGTGAGTGGTCGCGCCTGTCGAGCAACGTGAGCGAGGCCGAGGTCGAGCGCGCCAAGGCCCAGCTCAAGGCATCCATCCTTCTGGCCCTGGACGGCACCACCGCTGTCGCCGAGGATATCGGTCGTCAAATCGTCAACACTGGCCGTCGCATGAGCCCCGGCGAGATCGAGCGCGTCATCGACAACATCACCGAGAAGGACGTTATGGAGTTTGCCAACAGGAGACTCTGGGACCAGGACATTGCCATCAGCGCTGTCGGCAGCATCGAGGGCCTGTTCGACTACGCGAGAGTGCGGGCCGACATGAGCAGGAACTTTTAAAGGAGGCAGAGGGGAAAAAAGGGATGAGTTGGGTGGAAGAGGTTCTGCCTTGTGGAGCGGAGAAGAGGCGCCCGGGTCAATGTATTATAATCGGTCATACATCCGAGCCCAACACGTGAAATGTACTGTAGGGGGCGGGCGGGTAGACATAGATCAAACGATCCTGCTTCTGTTGTTTAGCCTGGTTGGCGGACTGCATCCTATGTTTGGAAGATCTTGCGTGCGCCCACGGACATGAGCGGTTATCAACATGCGGACAATCTCAGTTGGGGGTTGAATACGGAACTGGTTGTGTCCTTCACATACCTCGTTCCTCGCTCTATTTTTTACCTGGCGAACATTACCACAGGTCAGGGGTATTGCCAAACACCAACTGCAGAAACGATGACGCTCCCACCACCAGCAGGAGAATTTGTTTTCCATCCTTCATTCACATAAAGGGACAAGCCTTGTGAATTGGAGTATGGCGGGGGAAGGGGGTGAAGATCGAGAGAGATGAAAGTTTTGGTACGATTGTTATTCTGCATGACGCCTTGGTAAGTTCCAACCTTTCGTCTTTTAATATTCCCCCCGGGATATGGTAGTAGTGAAAAGGACGTTGGGATCTGTTCCATGGTGCCATATCCGAAGTGATTCTGAGGTCGAGATCACCCGATGCTAGAACATGGCTATGCCTGTTGTGGTCTGGTTTCCGACCTAAGATCAGGGGAATCGGACTAGTTAGGGGTTCCTTTTCCTTGGTTCAAGGTAGAATCGGCTAACTCCAGAGGGTGCAATATCTTTTGTTGAGCACGGTTTAACCTAGATTCTGATTTGGCTCCCCCTTCAAGTGTGCCATCGAAGGGATGAATGATGTGCCGTGCTTCAAAAAGCAGCACGAGGCAATCTGTGAGACAAGCAGAACTCAGGATGGTGCTCGGGGTGGCACTCGTGATGGATCTTGTGATGGCATGGAGAGGAAGGGCCCATATCAGCTGGACGATAAGAACATCTGGCGTTACAAGTCACCCATATTCTAGAAAACACGACTTCATAAAGCCTTGCTTACATGTCGTGATCTCACCCGAGATAAATTATTCGGTAGGAGTTATGGTATGGTACCCCGGTCCGGTAACCCAAGGTCACATCCTCTCGCAAGCCCTAATCTCTCGGAATGGCTTCAGTTTCCCTGCATAGACTAACTACAGCATGGGTTGTCCATGATTATGCAAGTTGGTCCCTAGATCCCGTGGTCTAGACATGGATTTTAGCATCACCAGGACCTCTGGTATGGGCGAAACGGAAAGCACATGCAGCGGCGTCGCATCACTGATAAACTGACGCAATGTGGTGATCGGCTTATGATCTCACCTGGGCTGAACCGGGCTAATCAGGGATGATGTGAGCGGTCTGGAAAGAGAGGGTCATGAGGGCAGAGTCCATTTAAACTGCGGCACTTGACTGGGGTGGCACGGCAGCTGCAGGGCGGGAGCAAGCAGTGGGTGAGGTGGATTGGAGGGTGGTGAGAGAGTGAACAGCATCGTGGTGCCATGATCGACCTTGACCTGACCGGTGGCAGCGCGAATTTGACAACTCCGTGATAAAGCCGCCTTCCGGATGCTCCGGTCATCGGGGAGGGTGGTTAAACTCTGGAGTTTGCTCGCGTGGGTTCTGCGAGTTCTGTACGTTTCCCGCTTTCGGCGAGCTGCACGGTGTTGACTCGGCATCGCTGGGAGTCTCGGAGGGTAGAGGGCAATCATCGAAGGTTGTATTGTTGTGTCACCCGTTGCCCGACGTTGACGGTCTGCGAATACCTAGGCGGGATTCAATTATTGACGCAAAAAAGGCTTTCCGATTCCCCGGTTGCTCTTCGCCGGAAACCCCGGCACAAGTAGGTCATTCCTGCATTTCTCTCCTCCGCCCGACGTGAAGACGGGAATCTCCAGTCCCCGAAGCCCTTTAAACTTGCGCGTCTTGGTGGGCATCGCCTCGTTCTTGACACTTGGCGTCAAGCCTGGGCAGATTCAGTATGGGACGCAAGTGTGCCCGGGTCGACTGGAGGAAACTCGGCTCTGTCGGGTTGGAGGATGCCGGGCCTCGGCGGGCCGTTTGTGGCCCATTTGTGGCCGTTTGTGGCGCCGAGGTGGTGACGACTATTAGCAGGTAGCCCCGCCCCCGCTACTGCTTGATCCCGTCTGATCTCGCTGAGCTGGTTCGCTGCCGGGTGCACACCGTGGTGCCTCGCATGCAGAGCCACGCTCATCCAGTCAGCTGGTGCTAATGTTATTTTTTTTTTGCCTTTCTAGTCTGGCCAACCCGCGACTTGTGCAAGAAGAAATATGTCTTGGGGGTCTTTGGGGGTGTGGTGACAAATATTCGATCCAGCCCCTCCCACTTCCCAGGAACACCCACCCCGCCAAAGGCAACTTTGGAAGGATCGTCATGCAGGGCATGTTTGTTCGCAAAATTGAGATCGAATAAGCAATGCGTCTTCAACAGACGCTAGGCGTACCTGAGACGCTCAGCCCGTGTGGGCGGTGTTGTGGTCGGTGGCCAGGCGACCCGGAGACCTTCTGTGTGACTTGTGGATGGAAGACATCTAAGAGAAACACGGGGAGATTTTATTTGTGTTCTTGTACGTACATACATACCTAGATATCTCCTTACATACACAGTCATGACAAGAACTTGCCCCAACCTTGGCTACCACAGCATGCAAGCTGTGCAAGGATCAGGTCGATCTCAAGACGACTTTGCCTCGACAAATCGCTGTGCTGACGACCTGCAGACGCTCGCTGCAGTGTGACCCGCTGTATTCCCCGCGCCAACAACGACGCCATCTCCAGAACAGACACGCTGCGGGTCAATGTGCCGCGGTCCGTCTGCGGTCTCCATATTCTTCCCCAAGCGAAGAGGCGGCAATTATCGTGCCGTCTTGGATCCTGGGGTGTTCGAAAAGGCCGTGCTCCTTGGTCGTTGAAATCAACTAGGTCTTTTTGAATCGGCAATCTGTAATTATCTCGTGGCTCGTGATATTTGGAGGTACGAGAGGACCCAACACCAACCAAGGATTCATCACACAGGTAGATATTTGCTCGGTACGACAACCGTGATATCTGTTCGCCCTGCAGTGCCGATCGGGTATCGGTGATACGCCCGTACCCAACGCCTCGTACAGCGAGCGTCAGGCGACATCCCTGGCTCTTTTGGACCACAGAAAGCAATTGGCTTTTCGGTTTGCAGATGAGCGCCGCATCATCACTGGTGCCGGCGACGGACAGGTATGGAGCACTGCATACACAATCCTGCGCCTTTTGATGGGGGGTTTCTGCCATCTGTATATGCGTTGGTTTTGTTGAAGTGGATTATCTCATGAGGTTGGGCCTGACGGCCTGGATTCGAGCTCTAACGGTTTATTTCGCAATCTCAAACCTACAAGGGAGGCCGCCTCCGTCGTCTGTTTTGGTGTGACCTTCGGGAGGTAAATTCAGGCACAGCACAGCGAGTTAATTTGGAAGCTGATGCAGTTGGGCGGCTGGGTATTTCACCACACCATCTCAGCCTAGAGCATACTCCTCGTCGAGATGAGTGAATTGCTCGCGCATTGTAAAATAGCACGCGCAATTGACTCGGAGAATGTGTTGATTGTTGATTGTTGGGCACGGGGACAGACAACATTGCCCGGATATCACCGATACTGATTTGCGTGTATCGAGGGGTTTCGCAAACAGTTTATTTCTTCTGTCTGAGAGGTTTCAGGGCTGGCTCTGGTATGCTCCGTGATGCTTCCGCATTTGGTTAGATGCGGGCATCCCGCTCTCGCTTCCAGCCCGGCCATTTTGGTTTTGTCGCATCCCAAAACACACGGCGCGAGCTTGTCTTGCTGGGCCGCCGATGAACGAAAGCCGTTGAGAATCATGTCTAATAAATCTGTATATTTTTGGGATCAAACGCAAAGGCGCAGGAAGTTCCCGACGGCGTAAACATCTAATCCCGGAATACGCCGCGGGTAGCGCTCCGAGAAGCGCGTCATTGGAGACGGGATGGGCTGAACCCGCCCGAGAGGTTTCATCTAGGATCCGCCAGAGCGACGTAACTCAAATTGATGAGTGAGCACGAGCAAAGTGATGGAATGGGACCCAGGTTGACGTATTCTGTTTTGTGTACCCAGTGCATCCATGCACTGCGTACATGCTGCGCCTAGCCTCGTCAGCCCATCATTTCATCCGCACTCTCGCACTGCATCAACGAGTAGGTCGCTCGAATAGAGTTAGTTGTATCCAATGGGCTTGCTTTTGTGGCCATCGAAGGTCGTCAACCATGGCTGCCAGCTTTCCCGATCCCAGCTTGGCAATGCCCTTGTAAATCCCGCCTGTTCCGGACCCCTCCAACTCTCCAGCCCCCTGCAACCACCCAGTATGCCAGCCTGTGCTTGGAAGGACCTGCCCCACAATAGTTACCAACCATTCCTTTCCTCGCCTTCCGTTCGAGTCGACACAGCCCGCTTGCCCGCTTCCTTGCCTCCCCCACAGAGGTTGCTTGCCCCCCGTCCGGTCTCAGACGAGAGACGGTGCCGCCGCCCCAGCGCCCCTATCAATTTTCCATCGCCCACCACCCCATTTCAAGATCTTTGTCCCCCCATCATTTTCTCCACTTTCTGGGTTCACTGGACGCCTTCGCTTCTTCCGCCCATCGGCTCATCTATGAGTGTTCCCCAGCCTTTCCGGGGGATTCGCTCTCAACTCGAAACAACCATTGCGCATCAGCATCAGGCCGGTTTTATTTTGCATGCTGGCAAATGAGCCATCGTGTTCCTTTGGGCCGCATTTTAGTTACCCATGCTCGCGCCGCTCTCGACAAAAATTGCCTGATGGACACTCTGCGCCCGTGAATCGTTCAAGTCGCCACCGAGTCTCAACATTGTCTCCGGCAAGATGGCATTCTTAAACCCCGCCGTCGTGGAAGCGGTCCGAGTGGTGGTGAGGCAGGCCACCGAGGTCGCCGTAACGACGGCCCTCTCACAAACCCCGATTATCGCGACTCCAAGCCCCGCGACCGCACCGCCCGTCACTTCGGCCACCTTGACCTCACTAGGTCCTTCGCCCACTGATAGCAGCACCCTGGCCAATGGCGGCCCCAGTACTGGAGGAGATTCGGGGGGCGACAGTGGGGGAGGAGGAGGCGGGGGAGGTGGGGGAGGGGGTAACTCTTCGTCGCTACTGTTCTTCGTCGCTCTCGGATTTGGTGTCGTGTTCACGAACCTTTGGTCAGTATTCATTCGACAGGAAAGCGAAGCATTGGGAACTGCTGTCTAACAATGCGCACCACGGGTAGGATTATCGTTGGCGTCAAGTATTGCTTTAGATATAATGCGCGAGCCCGCCAGATGCGAAACGAAGAAGGGGAGCCGATTGGCATGGAGGCTGTGCCTCGCCCGCACCGCCGTCGGAGAGAGAAGAAGTTGATGCCGATCGACGAAGTGAACGAGAAATTCCCGATGGTCAAATACAAGTCTTGGGTTGCGAGCCGCGCGCAAGAAGGACTGCCAACACGAGGTGGTGTATCTGTTCCCCAGAGCCGACCAAACAGTGTCCGCGACGCCGAGGGTACGATTCGGGAAGCTTCTCTGCGGGAGCGCCCGTCAACCGACGGCCGGCCGACGACTAGCGCGACGGCGACTGGAATAGCGATGGAACCCACATCTGAAACCACGGCGGAAAATACCGAGAAGCCCCCAGTCCAAAGCCCTCGCCACGTCCCCAAGGAGAGTACATCGAGTACAGTTGCCGGACTTCGTCGAGCATCAACAGATTCTAACCGCGACCCTGACCCCGATACGGCTGTAGCAGACAAGCACCTTAGCCAAATTTCCCATGACGAGGATGACGAAGACGAACACATCGATGCCGCTCTGCCGCCAGAATGCCTAGGAACGTCGGGTGACACGTGCGCTATTTGCATCGATGCCCTCGAGGACGATGACGATGTGCGGGGCTTGACCTGCGGCCATGCTTTCCATGCTGCCTGTATTGACCCCTGGCTGACGACAAGGAGGGCATGCTGCCCATTGTGCAAGGCCGACTACTTCACTCCTAAGCTCCGCCCTCAGGCCACCACTGATGGCGCTGATGGTCAAACGCCCGTGGTCCACGTCACGGTCACTGCCAACGCACGCAACAACCGGATGAACCTGCCTGGTAGACCGCGACCGGCCTTCTTTAGCTTTGGGCGGACAGACCAAAACAGACGGCCGACGGCAAACAGGTCTCGGCCAAGAGAGACAGGGGGTTCAGCCATTCCTGGTCGTCAGAGATCAAGGCCGAGCCCCGCTTCGCCACCACGCGACGCAACACCCGCTCAATCTGGGGCCAGCGGCCTGCTTTCCAACCTCAGAAATGCGATCCCAACTTTCCGATTTGGTAGAGGCCAGTCTGGTCAGACCGACCAGACCCAGCCAGACCCAGCACCCTCCAGTGCTGTCACCCCATCGCAGCTCGAAGCCGGGGTTCGAGCTGCACAAAATTAACGACGAAACGACGTCGACATACTGCCGCGATGCTCATGACGTATGCATCCCTCGATACCCCCATTTCCCGAAATATACTCGTATTTCCTCCTTGATCACAATCGCGGCGGGCGTCTCACGCATCGATCTGCCTGGTTTATTTGCACTCCGATCGGAGACTATCACGAGGACCCTCAACAAGCTTCTTACCTCCACTTAACACATCACCATATAGTTGGTGGGTATGCACATATACGCCATCACACACCTGGCGTTTGCACACATATACTTTTCGAGTCATAGCAACGGACGACGGCCGCGACGGCGGTGTCCCTGGCGAGCTACGGCTCGCATATATTAACGGAGGTCTGTATCATCTGGTTGATGACCGATCTTCGCCGTTCATGTGTTTCCTTTTTGTACTGTTTCCTCTCGCATCTCAGTATTGGAATTTGCATCATAGCACATTGGCTTTATAGGTTATGGGGGCCAGGCACACTTGCCCTTTACAAGCATGGAGTTACCAGGTCGTATGGATGGATGGGCGGGACGTTTGATTTAGGTTGTTCCGGGGGGGTGGACGCGGGTCAGCAAACGGGATCGAAAGAAAGTCGGGTCGGCGGGCAGGCTGGTGAAGGAAAGGTAGATGCCGAGCTTGGGATGGAATGGGTGTTATGTGTATTTTGGATGGGTGCTTGAAATCAAATGAATATACTCTTGCAGTATATGATTCCTGTTTGTGACCATGTGCCATGTCTACGTTACAGGATGTCCCTAAAGGGGGGGGCACCACTATGTTTCGGGGCCAACATACTGCTTCGGTTCACGCATGCAAATTTTATGATAACCAAGTAGATGCTATATTCTAAAGCCAATATTATACTGTAGACACTAGATGTTCCAGCTAAAATATCGGATTAAAATTAGAAAAAACCATCTCTTAAGTAGACAATGGATATTATGTTTTGGCCCTAGCACCTGGCTGCTGTAACGTGTTCCCACGCCCGCCAACCCTCCATGGGTATGTGGCGAGTGTATATATGGCTTGGGTGTGTTATATATGGCTTGAGTGTGTTATATCGCTTGGGGTGTTATATCGTTTGAGTGTCCTTCCTACTCCCGCATCCCTCTTATCCGTTTTGTAAATGCCCCGAAACGCCTGCGCAAATGATTCCCTCCATCCGACCCCCTTCACAACCTCACAAATACTTCCCGCTCTGAAATCTCCCCCCAAAATTCGCCGCCCTGTTCAACAATTCTCTCTTTTGCGACCCACTGATCTGTCCGCCCACTTTCATGTCCTTCTCCCAGTCAAACGCCCGCTTGCTGGGGTCATCGTCCTCCTCCGCCTGCCCCTCCTCACTACCACCGCCTTTGACTCCCCACTTGCCATGTTCCCCCGACTTGACAAGCCTGGCAGACTTTCCGGCTGCCCGCGCCGCCTGGTGCTCCGCCACTAGACTCTTGCCCCGCGTTTGCTCGACGTAGGAGTTAATGCGCGTCACGTCCGCCCGGCTCCCGTCGCGTTTACTGCTACCACTGTTGGACTCAGGCCGCCGCGTGGCATCCGGAGGTGTGTTGTGCGCGTCTTCCCGCCCGAGCACGGCGTTGGCGAGCCGGCGAGCCTTCTCCTCGGGTGTCTCCGTCCAAATGGAGCTGACGCCCGCGGGTTTGCCGTCTGTCGCGGCTCGCGGCCCGCTAGCGAACTTGCGTGATTTGAGCTTGGTCGGGTCGGGCGCGCGAGGGCCGTTGCTGGTGGGTGGTGCCAGCATCCAGTCGTCGCGTTTGGCTGCGGCCGGTTCGGGATTGGAGAGAGAAGGGTGGGTTGGTCCGAGTGTGGTGGCTGTGTTTTTGGTGCTGGTGGATGCTCCTGGGAGAGCGGGGCCCCAGTCGTCATCGGAGTCATCTTCTGCTGAGGAATTGGCGTCTGGATCGGCCGTGGGCCGCTCGGAAAGGGGTGCTGGCGGCGGTGCTGGGCCGAGTACGCGCTTGGGAGGTGGGTTGGGTCCGGATTTTGCTGGTGGTAATGCTGGCCCGGTCGTGTCATCGTCGGAGTCTAGAGATATTTCGTCGCCATTGCCTGGCGCCACTGTCGGCGGAAGGGAGGGACCAATTGATCGTTTCTTGCCTGCTGGTGCGGCCGCGCTGCTCGTAACTGTGGGAGGTAGCGAGGGGCCGATTAATGGGCCGGCTCTTGATGGCATTGTTTCCTTTGGGTTCTGTACGGCCGGCGCGGCTGGCCCAAAATCGTCGCCGGAGTCATTTTCCAACGCGATCTCGTCGTCGTGGTCTCGGCGGGATGTTTTGGGCGGATGCGAACCGAGCTCTGTCTCGTCTTCGGGAGTCCGCTTGCGCTTCTGGAGGTGCGGTGGCAATTGCGGACCTATAGAAGCCATAATTCTTGAAGTGCGGTTGGGTTGCAGCGTAGTGTTTGTTATGAAATTTGCAGATTGAAATTGACGTCTGAGTGTGAAGGCGAAAAGGTGTTTGGTCACAAGACAACGACCTGAGGGCCTGGTTAAGGCGATGCTGTACCTTATCGATAAGGACCACCCAGCAACCTGGAAGCCAGCCTTGTAGCCGATCAACTGCTCCCCCCACCAGGTCTAGCGACCTTGGTGGGCCTATGGTTGGGGCTGCAGGGGAGCTGCGCAGTTGCTTGGCATCCATCCATTGATGCATGTCTGGACTCGCAGCATCCCCGATGCGCAAAAACACCAAGCAAGCTTGACCCTTTTGTGTCAAGTCCATTCGCCGAATATATCGCGTTTCCTAAGGCGCTACTGGCAGCTCCGTCACCCAACGTTCAGCGAGCGCCGAAACCTACCCACCCCAAAAGCCGCGCGATCTCATGTCCCTGGCCGAATCGTGAACTCGACGAAGCTAGCCTTCTCACCTTGCTGCTTTCTCAAGCCACCTAATTGGTTTCCTTGGAGCAATGCCTTTCGCCCCTGACACCCGATGAATTCGAGTCAACTCCGGGAGGAGGGTGGCTCCACGGACGGCATGGCCGACGAACCAGAGCTGTCCCGAGCAGACGACCAGGATTCGAGCTCGATGAGCGACCAAGAGACAGTGAAGGGCAACAGAGATGAGGACCACATTGCCGACATTCTGGAAGAGGAGGGAAATACTGGTATTGAGTCCTCTGCGCTCCCTGCCGGTCCAAGCTCCATCGCACATCGCTATCGAGAACTGCTCCAAGTAGAGCACGAGACGCCGTCAGAAGATGGTTCAACCGATGCCATACCCCGGCGTGCGACTAGTCCCATGGGCTCCATGCTCTCCGTTCCGGACGATCCGCCCTCTATACAGGTACTTTGGGCTGGGATGCTTGTGGTAGAATGGCTACTAATGGCGCACGCCTAATGCAGGGTTCCGTGATCTCCTCCCCCGGCAGCAGCCTACACCCCTCTCTCGCCTCTCGCCCTGGCATAGCCAGTCCTACGCCTTCCTTCCGACCATTCGACCAAAGATTCCAGTCCCGTATCACCTCGCCATACCTCTCCTCGCCAAGACCCTCGTCCCCCGCGTTCCCATCCACCCACAGCCGGAACGTATCGATGAACAGCCAGTTGCTACTAGACCCAGGGGACACCGAAACACCATCACCACCATGGGAGGTTGTGCGCTGGACAAAGCTGAAGAAGCTTAATGGGCAGGTGTTCTCCGAGGCGGGCAAGAGGAACTTTGGGACTCCAACGTGTCTTGCCATCTCGGCCACCATAGTATTGGGCACTTCGAAGGGCATTATCTTAATGTTCGACTACAATCAGAACATCAAGATGATAATAGGCCCCGGGGACCAAAGGTTAGGCCATTATTTCGTTCTTGCGCACCTTGATACTGACCTTCCGCAGCCGTTGAATCCGGCCCCATTACTGCAATCGCAATATCCGCAGATCATACCACCATCGCCGGTGGGCACGCGAACGGCAACATATTTACATGGGACACCTCGCGAGCTGCTGGGAGGCCATTTCTTAGTATCCCGCACTTGGACCCAATGCACCAAACCAGCAAATCAGCCGATGGCCATGTGCTGAATGTCAAAGTCACCCACTTGGGCTTCCTCGGCACCCGACACACGGCTCTTGTCTCTGCCGATGACCGAGGAATGGCTTTCTCGCATCTCGCAACTAGGGGCACTGGAGCACTCGGAAGAACAGTTAAAACGACGCGGATATTGGGCCGGTACCCGGACGCGAAACCTCCGCCTGGGAAAACGCTGAAGCCAAGCACCGTCCTAGCGTTTGCGTCATTACCCCTCGGCAACGTTGAGATGGCTACCGATGGCTTGGGGCTGACCGCGATGCTTACGCCCTACCTGCTTGTCATCGTATCTACCACCCCTATTGCCCAGACCCAACACAAATCCGCGCGACCGAAGGAAGTTGTTGCCCACAGTGCTCTGACGGGGTGTTTGGCCTGGTTCCCCGGCGTCAAACTGAAAGTGGCAGATCCTGTCACAGGAAGTCAAATCTCCAAAGTCAAGCTAGTGTACTGCTGGTCTAATGTCCTGACCGTTCTGGATGTTGACGAGATCCCATCAGAGGACAAGGATAAACCACCAAGCCTGAGATTTCGGGCACGGAGCCGGTGGAAGTGCGAGGAAGCTATCGTCGCGGTGCAGTGGTTAAGCCGGTCAGTTTTGACTGTGCTAACCATTTCTCAGCGTCTCATTGTCCTCGAAGACCGAAGTATGCGCATGACCGAGGCTTTTGATCTCATCCACAAACATATCTATCACGTCGACCTGTTCTCGAAGCAGCTCAACACCTTGGTGGAGCAGCTCGACGAGGAAGATCCCTCAATGCACGGCGTTGTTGCTGACGCATTCTATATGAGCTTCAAGACTTACAAAGGACGGCTCTTCCTCCTTGGGCTTAACGACATATCAATAGGAGCCTTGTCTAACTGGGCTGACCGGCTTATCGCACTCATGGAGAATGGCGACTATGTTGGTGCTATCACACTCGCAACGTCCTACTACATGGGAGACGCCAACAAGCTCACGGTCGGACTACCGGAGGACACCAAGTTGAGGCACTCCATGGTTCAGGACAGGTTGATGGAGATCATGAGAGCCTCGCTAAAGTACGCCTTTGGCCAAAGGCAAAAAAACAGGGAATCGACTGATGACCACCATTTCCAAGAACTCTCTGAGACGTGCTTCGTAGCCTGTCTGAGTGTGGGGGACATTGATTTCCTTTTCGACGAGATGTACGAATGGTACGAAGAGGCTGGCGTGGAGGGTATTTTCCTCGAGGCTCTGGAGCCCTACATTCTCGACGGGTCCATCACTGCAGTCCCCCCGGTTGTTGTGAAGGCATTGATCACGCATTTTGTCACCAAGAGTTGGGAAAGCCGGCTAGAGGAGATGATCTGCCACATGGACACGGCGACCCTCGACCTGGATCAGATCACTTTACTTTGCAAGCAGCATGGTCTGTATGATGCATTGCTCTACGTTTGGAACCAGGCACTGAGCGACTTCGTCACGCCACTGTTTGACCTGCTCTCGCTGCTGGTACCATTGATGCAGAACGGGCAGGCGTCGGGCAGTCAGATGGACGCCGAGATATACGGTGTGAACGCTTTGAAGATCTTTCCATATCTCTCTTACGTTCTCACCGGACGAGTTTACCCAACCGGCGACGCCCTTCCAGAAGATGTCGCGCAACAGGCAAAAGCCGAGCTCTACTGGCTGCTTTTCTCGGGCAAGAGCATCACATGGCCGAAGGGTAGCAACAAGCGGCTTCTGACAAGGCCGAACCGGTCTGAAGAGCCCTCGTTTCCGTACCTTCGGCTGGTTTTGAACTTCGACGCCGCGAGCTTCTTAAGCGCTCTCAACGAAGCGTTTGAGGATTCGTTCCTCAATGACTCCCCCGAAAAGTCGGGCGGCAGCGCCGGCCGTGATCTACCCGAAGAGCAAATCTTTGGTATGACGGTAAATCGGCAGTACATCGTCTCGATCTTGATGGAAATTATGAATTCGTCCGACTTTACGCCTAATGAAACAATCTACCTGGATATGTTCATCGCCAGGAACCTGCCGAAGTACCCACAATACCTCTTGTTCCCTGGCTCAACGCTGACCAAAGTCCTGGTCGGGCTTTGCAAATACCCGGGGCAGGACCTGGCTGAGGATGCTCAGCTCAGCGCCGAGTATCTGCTGTCAGTGTACCAACCACCGGATGTTACTGAACTCATACCGCTGTTCAAGGAAGCTAGTTTCTACCGCATTCTGAAGCGCATTTACAGAGGGGACAAGCAGTACGGGAAGCTCATTCACACCTACTTTGAAGATCCAGAAGACCAGGAAGACGTTTTTAACTGCATCGATCTCTATCTGCGACCACAGGCAGGTCTCACGCAACGCCAGATCCAGGACATCCACCAAGTCATCAAGGAACATTTTGCAGAATTGGTGTATCTCGACCCCGGAATGACAGCCACGACCATTGCCAAGCACGCCCCTGAGCTGCATCAACACGTGTTAGACTCGGTGACCCAACAGCCAGGTCTACAGTACACCTACCTAAAGACAATACTAGAGCCAGAAAAGGAAACCACTCTCGGCCGCTCAACAGACAGGGACCTGGTGGAGCAATACCTGCGCCTAATGTGCCAGTTTGATCCGGACCGCGTCTCGGACTACGTCGGTCTAGTCCAGTCCTCGAACCTGAGGCTGGAACAGCTGCTCCCAACAATGGAGGAAACGGGCGTGATCGACGCAGCGGTCATCCTCATGGCAAAAGACGGCCAAATCCAAGAAGCCATGGGCCGCTTGGTCAAACACCTTGAGACGCTCGAGTCGGCTCTGCAGGGTCTTCTTGCCGGGTCCCGGGACGATGCCCGTGGGGTACAGGCCTCCGCCGAGGATCTGGTTCAAGGCCTGCGGAAGTTCGTTTTGGTAGGCATTTGGTTGTGTCAGGGGCAGAGCAAGACCGCGCGAGCAGCGAATTCCGGCTGGCGAGGGCAAAAACCGCCACCCGACGGGGCAACTCTCTGCCGATGAAAACCTCTGGCTAGACCTGATCGACACAGCAGTCCAAATCACAAGACGGCTATCGTCGACATTGCAAGCCAACCCATCACAGGAACCCCTTTCTCCTACCAACGGTGACCCCCACCACCCACCCCCGCTCGACACCAACAAACTTCTCGCCCTCCTCCGCGGCCTCGTCCAAACCACCTTCACAGCCCTCCTCAACTCAACCTCCACCTCCACCACCACGAAAACAACAACCACCACAACCAGAACAACCACCACGGCGACCACCACGGCTGGCCTCGGCACGAACCTCGCCTTCCTGCGCATCCTGCGCGCCTTCCTCACCCGCGCCGCCGCCGCCTCGCCCAGCCTAGCGGACCTGCGCGCCGTGCTGGCGTCGGTCTTCTCGGCGTACGCCTACGAGGAGTCCATCCTGCGCCTCTCCAACCGCCTGCTCGACCGCTCGCTGTTTGTCAGCGTCGCCCGCGCCGTCGAGCTGCGCCAGCGCGGGTGGCGGCCCCGCGGGTCGATGTGTGAGGCCTGTGCGCGTCGCGTCTGGGGGCCGGGGGTGCAGGGAGGGAGGGGGGTGTATGAGGCGTGGGAGGCGGCGGAGGAGAGGAGGAGGAGGGTGGGGAGGGTGGGGAGGGGTTTGGGGGGTGGTGTGAGTGGTGCGGGTGCGGGTGGTGGTGGTGGCGGTGCTGCCGCTGCTGCTACGGTAGGAGCTGTGAGGGAGGAGCAGGACGAGGAGGAGATGTATGTTGGGAAGGGGAAAGGGAAGGACTTGAGTCCGAGGTTGAGGCAGGGTGATGAGGAAGGGGAGTGTGGGAGTGAAGGGGGTGGGGAGGGGAAACGGGATCCGAGGGAGGGAGGGGCGGAGGGGGGCGGTGAATGCCATCAAGAAGGATCAACCACCGGCTTTGGGGCCGCTGGTTTTACTCTGCAGTGCAGGCATATTTACCATCAGAGCTCGTCTGGAAGCGCTGCTGGCCGAAGGATGGCGCAAGGACAAGGAGAGCGGAGTACCGGTGTCCTATTGGATGGGTAGGGTAGACGGGGGCGGGTGGTTTAGTTGTATGTAGTCCGAGGGATATGTTAATTATGCGGCGTAAATCTTTTACAAATTCTGCGATTGCGTAACTCGGTTATGTTCATCAGATGCTGTAAAATTACCCAGGTGTGATTTGGCTATCTTGTTATTGTTGAGAAAAGGGGCTTTTTTGCTTGGAGGATTTACAAGGGCCCGCAGTGGTTGCTGTTGCTGTTGCTGCCCTTGGTATTGCTTGGTTGCCGATCAGTGGGGCTGGCCGCTGAGCACCCCCTTGGCTGCTTGGCAATTCAATGTGACTTGCACATGCACCCGCAAAACATCCAATTCTCAACCTCGTAGACAACACCACACATGTCAATGGCAGCACCATGCCCGTAATCACGGAGGAAGAAGTTGACGAAGATGTCGTCCGCATTCCCGCATTAAACGGAAACCGGCCGTTTGCCCGACAAGACTCGTCCGGCTCGAGCAACCTCAACCCCGACCACGATCCCAATTCCACCGACGAGCACCTCCCCAACGAAGACGACGAAGAAGAACAATCCTACTCCTCCGCGTCCGGCTCCGAATCAGAAGACGACGATGATGATTACGACGATGACGACGACGACAACGACGACAACAACAACCCGCGGCGGCGCCGGCCCCCACAACCACCCTTCACCCAGCACACCTTCGCGCCGCCCTTCTACGGCCGGCCGCCAACCCCCCTCCCGCCATCCCCTTCCCTGACCTCCCTCCTCCGCCCGTCCCGCCCCACCACTCCAGACGCGTCAGACGACGACGGCCACGGGCACGGACACGGACACAACAACGGCGGCGCGGGCACTTCCACCACAGCAGGCGGCGGCGGCGGCGGTGGTGGGAATGGACACCTGGGCGAACCAGTCCCCCGCGCGCGCCCCAAGGTGCCGACGTACGAGTACTACGGCTTTGTGCTGTACCTGTTCAGCTCGCTCTTCTTTTTGGTCTACCTGCTGTGGAGCTACCTGCCGTCGCCGTTCTTGCACGCGCTGGGCATCTACTACTACCCCAACCGCTGGTGGTCGCTCGCGATTCCGAGTTTTCTGGTCATGCTGCTGGTGTACATCTACGTGGCGCTCGCGGGGTACAATTTGGAGATCTTGACGCTGCCGCTAGAGAGTGTGGAGACGGTGGTGGATGAGGCGGCGATGGTGGCGGTGGTGGATTCGAAGGGGAGGATTGTGAGGGGGGAGAAGAAGAGGAGGGAGGGCGGCGGGCGGAGGAGGAGGGGGACGGTTACGAAGGATGGGGGGGCTTCGGGGTCGGGGTCAGGGGCGGGTCCTGGAGAGGGCGTCAAGTTGAACTGGAGGGAGGTGTGGAATGAGGGGACGGATGCGGTCATGGATGTGCCGCTGGCAGGAGTGTGTGAGGTGCTGTATGGGGAAGGGAGGGACTGGGATAGTGAGCTGGAGGATGAGGACGTGGGGATCACGAGGATATAGTTTGGGTATTGTTTGCACTGCGTTGGAAAGGGATTATCATTCCGATGCAAAAGGAAGATAGGTACGTAAGGATACATTAATGATGATACCCCTTTATGAATTGATGTCATGATAAGGAGTTTGGGTCTAGTGCTGCATCTAGGCAGTGCACACTACTAGAAGTATGCACGACTCGAGGTCATCCTGGGTGATGATGTAATGCTCAAGTGTCTAGCACCTATATGTATCAGACGGCCAAGCTCGGCCGCGTCCCCTCAAACTTTCCCTCGCGCACAATCTTTTCGTTCGTACCATTCCAATCATCATCTGTGACCAGCACCACAAGTCGATCCCTTGTTACCCGAATATCACCAGAAACCTCTCTCGGGGCCTTCATTCATATCGCCCACCGATTCTCCAACCTTCGGCCAGTCCCTTTCCTTCCAAGTTCTGATCATGGCGAACGGATCCCGCGTTCCCAGACGATGCCATGGAATGATACTTCGAGCCTCAACGAGGGCTAAATCCCGCCCCTGGGCATCCCTGCCCGCCGAAATCCGCCTCATGATTCTCGAGGCGATTGCACAGCAGAAGCACAAGCGGTGGGCTTCGTTGGCTTCTGTCTGCAAGGAGTGGCAATCGGTCCTCGCGAAAGAAAATTTCCGTCAGCTCAAGTTGCGGCTTTCCTGCCTCGATGACTCGATGACTTCGGACGTTTGATCGTTCGGCATCGGCACCTCATTCGGTATATCCAGTTTGGAATCGAGCTACCTAGATACTCGTGCCCGCAATGCATAAGAGAAGTGCCATGGCGTAGCACCGAAGAAGATATCCAGTCTATTAATGACGGAGTCTGGAAGCTATTACGGATCATCGGCACTTGGGAGAGGCGGCAGAAGCATGCAACAAATAACACCCTTCCCAAGGGGATTACGTTGGAGCTTAACGCCTATTCTCCAGCGATAGAGAACACTGGTTCAAGAACTTCTATTTTACCTCTAATGCGGATGTCAACAATGACGGCAACTACAAGACGAACGATCCGGGGCACGGCTGGGTTAACGGTCAACAAGTGGTCCGGCCTCCTGCGGCGGCCATCCCGAGACTCTTCCCGAGAATTTATTTTGTTACCGGAGAACATATTCCTACAGTTCTTAGCATCACACGCCTCATCATACGCCGGTGTCTACGGCGCTCGCTTTTCCCTGGTTCTCTTGGTTTTTTGTTAAGGAACCTGAGCGCCTTGGAGCACCTGGTTTACGAGCCGTGGCGGCAATGGGACAACAGGAACAGAGATATGTATGATCGCTGTAAGCGGACACCTTGTGACCCCTTCCTTCCATCACTCGTTCGATTCCTAAACCTTGGTTGTAGTTCTTGCACTTTCCGTCAAACATCTTCCCAAAACTCTCAAGAAGATTTCCGTCTTTGAAGACTTTAGCGACAGCCTTGCTGCGATACTAATGGAAGACGGAAATTCAAACGCCGGTGCGCCCATGCACATACAGGGAGAGGTCGTCCGGGTCGCAAATCCACGAGTTGGCACGGCCTTTGCCTCCAGAAGCTGCGACCTCGAACAGCTCTCGGTGTCGTATCTGGTGAACGCCGAGGACTTCTTTGGCGCTTGCCTGCCATCCTGGACTTGGCCGCGCCTCGAGTCTCTCGCCCTCACCTCGCAGCTCCTTTATCACAGTTGAGGGCGCCGGGAGCTCATCGACGATTTGCTGTACAGGGCCGGCATCACGGCGCTGCAGATGCCTAGGTTGCGGACTCTGGCGATTTGGAATGGCCGGGAGGGGGGCGCGTGTGCGTTCATTTACCACACGGACCAAAACTACGCCTATCTCACCTGGCGCGGTACGTGGGAGATGGACTTCAGCCCTCGGGTGGTGGAAGTGTGAGAACGCGTGGCCGCGGAGGGTTGTTCACGCCCGCTGCGGGTCACAAAGCAACAAGTTCAGGACGCCATTGAATCTCATGGCGATGCCATTCATCACTTGGCCTTGCAGTGTCCAGTGGTTGAACCTAAATCGTTGTGGCAAATCCGGAGGGAAGGAAAAACGTTTAGCTTAGGTAAACAGGACAATGTGATTTCCCATAACTAACTAACTAACTATATGCGATGAAAGGTATTACACTGAGCGACTTGGAATTTTGACTTGAAAGGAATTTTGTAACTTTATCCATGGATGAGTTCGCGACCTAGCGCTCACCCTCTGGTTATACGTAAAAAGATGTTGAACTCGAAGGAGGGAAAGAGAAAACAAAATGAAAAGAGGAGGGAAGGAAGGAAGAAGAAAAAAAGGAAGTAACTAACTATGTAGTTAATGAAACAGAAAAGAGAAACCCGACGACGGAAGGAAGAGCCAAGAAACAAAACAACTTAACAAAAAATAAGAAGAAAAGGGGGAAGTACAGTGGATAACGAAAAGTAAGTAGGATAAATATACTCATTTATTTAGTTAGTCTTGTTTTGTTTCTTTACTCGGACTTTCTAGTTGTAAAAACACCCCCCGGAGTTTCCAACTCGGGCCCCAAAGAGGGATGGAACCTTTGTTTCCAATGCCAAGCCCCAAGCTCCTGCCCCACACCTCCCGTCCCTCGCCTGGTCGCGTTCAACTGCTTGAATTTGGAGGAGCCTCGATTGGAGCGACTTGTTGAAACCACCATCGACAAGAACACGGACGTAAAAACACCCGTTGCGCTTCTATTCCCGCCCACATTACCGATACGTCCTAGGGTTATAAATTCCGTCTACATTACCGACCAGATACTCCTCAACATGTCACAGCAACCGCTGTCGTCGTCGGTGCAGCCGACCGACATCTACGGAGGAGGTGAGCTGCCATGAGAACTTCTCAGTTGCCGCCCCAATTGCTAACGAACCATCGCTAGATGAGGTCTCGGCGCTTGTGCTCGATCCCGGCTACTGCAACACCCGCGCGGGGTTTGCGGGCGAGGAGATACCCAAACAGGTCATTCCATCCTCCTACATCCACGTCGACGGCCGCGATCTGTTTGGCGACCCGAGCATCGCCCCGCGCGCCGGCATCGAAGTACGCAACTACATGAACCGCGACAGCGTCGTCGAGGACTGGGACGCCGCCACCCGCGTCTGGGAACACGTGCTCGTCCAGCGCCTGCAGCCCCCGCGGCCTACCCCTCCGAGCAAGAACGGCCTCAACGTGGGCGACAACGACGGCGACGTGGAGATGGGAGAAAACGAGGATGCCACCGATGCGCTCGAGAAGCCGCTGGCCGAAAACCCCCTGCTCATGACTGAGGCGCCTTGGAACTCGGCTAAGGCCCGCGAGAAGGCAATTGAAATAAGCATGGAGAACTGGGGCTGTCCCGCCTTCTGGCTCAGCCGAGCCCCTGTGTTGGCCGCCTTTGCCGCCGGGAAAGCCACCGCCCTTGTTATCGATGTCGGCGGGGCCAACACGAGCGTCACAGCAATTCACGACGGCATGGTCCTCAAGAGGTCAGTCCAGCGGTCGCCGGCTGCTGGTGTCTGGCTGAGCGGCCAGATCCGCTCCATGTGGGAGAGCGGCGACCCAAAAGTCGACGTCGTCCCAAGCTTTATGGTCGAGAACAAGAAGCCCGTCGAGGCTGGCGCGCCCGCAGATGCCAGGCTGAAGACGTTTGACTTCCCCATCACCGATTCATTCCGCGCCTTCGAAGAGGAGCGCGTCCTCACTGAGTTCAAGGAGTCAGTCGTCGAAGTATGGCGTGGGCCTGGCCGTTACACGGCACCGGGGAACGAAGATTACGCTCGAAGCCAACCCGGCCGCGTATTTGAGATGCCCGACGGGTTCAACCAGATGTGGCGCGAGCAGCGTTACCGCGTAGCTGAGGGCATGTGGGACGAGAGCGCCGCCTTTCCGGCGGTCGGCGAAGAGCCAGGTTTGACGAAAGCGCAGACGATCCCCGCCATGATCAAAGCGGCGCTAGACGGAGTCGATGTCGACCTGCGACCTAACCTGCTGGGTCACGTCGTGGTGACCGGAAGCACGAGCCTGCTCAACGGGTTCAATGATCGCCTGAACCACGAACTCACAGCCATGTACCCAGGCCTTAAAATCAAGATACATGCGGCTGGTCTGACGAGCGAGAGGAGGTTCGGTGCTTGGATTGGAGGCAGTATCCTGGCCAGCCTGGGCACATTCCACCAGATGTGGATCTCGAAGAAGGAATATGACGAGAATGGAGCGGGCATCGTGGAGAAGCGTTGCAAGTAGGTGCCGTGTCGAGAGTGCAACACTTGTTTGGGGACATAATCGAGATACATGATTTTTGACTTGCAAGGGAGATGTCGGAGAGATGGGCAGGGAGCAGTAAGGGTGGCCGGAGGTCGTTGATTATTACGCTCAAGGTTTCGAAGAGGCGTCTGGGGGAGTTCAGGTTAATGGACAGGTAAAACCGGTCTTGGGCAAGAGGGCTGGTGTTACGCAGCATCATACAGTTATCCATGACCCATTGTTAAAGATTGGTGTTTCTGCTGCCTGTGGCTGCTGGCTGATAACCATCTTTGCCGGAGCTACTGGCGAATTCATCGCTCACCATCCGTGCCATCTCGGCCAGACATCCACCACTTCGCTTTCGCGACCCTTGTTCCTGCTGTCGACGATCAAATACCAGTCGAAACCGGAACCAGCGATGCAGCTATGGTTAGGCCACACCCGGACTCTCTGCCCGTACTGGAGCGGGACCTCGTCCCCGTTCCCCTGCCAGGTCAAAATACCGTGCTCTTGGCTGATGCGTCCGACCCGCCAGCCGTCATGAACCCGGGGGAAATCCGGACCCGGCACCGGGTTGTCCAAACCCCAGGGCATGATGAACCCCCAACCCGCGTAGGCCTCCCCGGGAACTTTGCCCTTGTCTGCAACAGGCTCGCGGCCGAGGGCGAGCGTGCCAGCATTGATGAGAGCTTCAGTTGTGCCATTTGCACCGCGGCCGGGATAGACTATTGGCGGATGAGTGGCTCCTCAGTAAGGGGTGAATGTGGGTGTTGTACTTACGAGAAGCCACCTCGGCAAGCACACTGATTGCGATATCGTCCGCCGTCATCAGCGACGCATCCCTGGCGTGCGTCGCCAGCTGCTGCATATCCAGCGTCGGACTGCCGCCCCGTTGTTAGCAACCAGCACTCCGCAGTAACTCTCCCCTTCCCGACACCACCAAAAACTTACTAAACCCCAGCATGGACCTCCAACGCAAACCCCTCCCCCTTCAACTCCCCAACCAACCTCCCCACCTCCCCTCCCCCAGAAGACGACGAGAAAACCCCCTCCTGCTGCACCACCGTCGCGGTCGGCGTCGCCCCCACCGACAGCACCAACCTTTTCTTCTCTCCACCAGCACCGGCAGCCCCCCCTCGTACAGCAACAATCTCCCTCGCCACCCCCGCCAGCCCCCGAAACTCATCCGCCAAATACCCCAACACATCCTCCACCCCCTCGCGCGCCGCATAGCTATGCCCGGCATGCGAGTAGATCCCCAACAACGAACACACCCCGCGGCGCTCGGCCTCCAGCGCGGCGGCGATCAGCGCCGAGCAGGCGGGCGTGTGGGGCGGGACGCCGGCGCGGCCGTACGAAGTGTCGATCTTGAGGAAGATTTGCGGCGGGTGCGGGAGCGGGTGGGCGGTGAGCGTGGTGAGCTGGGATGGGTGGTCGATCATGAGCGAGAGGGTGCCCGGGCCGAGGACGTGCGTGAAGGTGGCCAGGCGCGGGAGGGCGCTGGGGAAGAGCGGGAAGGAGAAGAGGACCTGGTTTGGGTTGGTTGGTTTTGGTTTAGTGGTGGGAGAGGGGGGGAGTTAAGGGGTGGGGAGAGGGGGGTGGGTGGTTACGTTGACGGATCGGCCATGGGATTGGTATTCTTGGAGGAGGGGGAGGATGTTTTCTGCTTCGGTGATGGTGGAGACGATGAGGGAGACTGGGGTGGTGAGAGTGTCGCCGACTTGGAGGCGGGTGAGTTCGGTTGTCTTACTTGGGTGTTAGTGAACAGTTAAAGACCATCAAGAGACGAGAATGTGTAGTTCAGAGTCACCTTATGGGACTTGATGTGAGCTCGCCATAGCAACCCCAATCTCTCGGTTGCTTCGAGCATACGCTCGCAGTTCACTTCCACCTTGGCCAGGTCCAGAATGACCGAGGGAGTCGGCACTTCGTTGAGCGTCTTTCCCAAGAACTTTGCCCGGAGCTGTTCCTTGAGCTCGGAATTCTGTTTAGGGGCAGCCATATTTTATAAAGTCGATTCAGTTGTTGATAGAGAGCTACTAGACTCAAAATGATCTGACGAAGTGAGAACCGAGGTGAGGTGTCAGAGTCATCAACAGATCGCTGCGGGGATAAGCCGCAGGTCATGATCCACCACTGCATGTTGCATCAACATAGTCCCGGGATTTTGGCGCAACGACTTCCGTGGAATTAGTTAACGAGTCAACGCTAATAACAGAGCTGCCTATGTGGTCCTGGTCACCTTATCACTCATCTAACTCATCTTGGTCGCCACAAGCTGTGTCTGGTTATTCCTCGGCCTTAACATCCAATAACTAGTCAATTAGGTAACTACATAACTACTTAGTTAATCTCTCTTGACATTGTTTATCAAACCTGGCATTGATATGCACGTAAAATGCGCCCTGTGGGCTGCCCCATGATGCAGCAGTGGTACGTGCATTGTTAAAAGCTGCGGGGCTGTAATTAGGTTGCTATTGTAGGTCGGTACCTAAGGTAGTCAAATCGAGAATCGAGAATCGAGCTCGAGCTCCAGCTCGAACTTAAAACGGGGATCTGGTTCACAAACAAGCAAAAACGGCGAGTGCACAGACATTTGACCCCCGCTCATTCGGTGTAACGTGAGACCCATGCATGGCAGAAGCTCAGTGACCCACATGTGACCGCGCCGAAGCCGTTCCATTTCTTGGCAACTTGCAACCAGCGACTTCCTTCACCTTCAACACTGTGCAGCGATCGAATATTTCTTTGCACAGCGACTGCCGCAACTTCCTTCCCTCCAACACTGCACCGGGCGCCTCATTCGACCAAGCCGGCAAGGCCGACGATGCTGTTGATTACGAAGATATTGATCTCAGTGACGACGACTTACCCGATGAGGAACCCTCTGCGGACCGCGCGAGCCGCGCGAGCAGCGACGGCCCACCCGCGGTCAACAACAATGAAGACGATGACGATGACCTTTTCGGCGAAAACCTCCCCTCGTCTCCGCTAGATGCCAACGGCGGTCTTGCGTCGTCGCCCCTTCCTATGGATACCAGCGATGAGGATCGCACGCAAACCGACAAGGCATCTCTACAGGAACTCATCGCCTTGAATTTCGACCACGGCCCGAAACCGAGCGATGCGAACCAAGACCCGAACATTCCCCCTCCGGCGGAAAGTCTTGCCGAAGCCGTAAAGCAAGCGTTCCCGGGATTCAAAGAAAAGACCGTTCTTCGCTGGAACGAGATCCTCCGCCCAAAGCAAGCCCACTGGATCTCCAAGAAACCGGCCAAGCCTCCGAAGCCGCTGGTGCCGACAAAGCTCAGCTTGGATCTTGATGCCGACCAAGAAAAGCTATTCCGTATTCCCGGCCCGGCGACGATATCTGTCTATCAGAAAATCCGGGATGCCGAAGCCCGCGGCCTCGTTTGCCTCGAGGAGCCCGAGCCCCTCGAGCAGGCGGACCTCGAGGTCTTCAACCTAGACGACGATTCCGATTCCGAGGTCGTGGGAGGTTTCACTCTTCGCGACATCGCCCTAGTATGCGACGACTGGGATGCCATGATCAGTCTGGGCGATTCCGTCCCCGCCCAACCCTCTCCTCCGAGCCAATCCAGCAACATCCCCGACAACCTGCTCATTAAGACTGAGCTTGATGGCGATGATGAAGACTGGGACAGGATGTTTCTCGATGCGCCAGCGGCAAAGAAACGACGTTTGGAGATCCCCAAGGGCCTCCCGCCCATCCCTCGGTTCACGGCGCCCAACTTTGACAACTTTGAGGAGGCTACTTCCAAGCTGGGAAAGCGCGTTATTCTCGATATGAACGACCCCTACCTCCTCATCGACGATGTCGAGTCCGAGCGCGTTGCTAAACGGCGCAAGATTCAACACAAGACGGTGCGCATGGCCAACGGCCGCCTCGGTCGGGAGTTGTCGCAGCGCTTCAACTTTTCGTCAGATACCGCCTATGACGCTCTGAAGGAGAACAGCCAGAGCAAGGTGCGCGCCACACTGGCCTCGATTCCAGTCGAACACAGCTTGGCGGCAAAGAGGCTCTCGTGGCCCTACTACAAGGTCAAGCTCTCTGCCAGCGATCCGCATAGTTACCATCGGCCCCAGTTCCACCCACGTCGGGACGCTTTCCACCCAATCAAGCTGAAACCTCCGACCCTGAAGAGGAAAAAGCAACTTAAGGGCAAGCGAATTTCCGAAATCTTCCAATCTTCCTCGGACCTTACCATGAACGACAACTCGACCGCGATTCTCTTTGAGTACTGCGAGGAGATTCCCATCGTTCTGTCCAACTTCGGCATGGGCCAAAAGATTATCAATTACTACCGTCGCTCTAAAGGGACCGATGCTAGGCCCGAAAAGCGAGAACTCGGCGAACCCTACATCTTGATGCCCGAGGACCGCTCACCGTTCGCCATGGTCGGCCAAGTCCACCCTGGCGAGACGGTCCCCACATTGCACAACCAAATGTTCCGTGCCCCCATCTTCAAGCACTCCCCCAGGAGTACCGACTTCATCCTCGGCCGGAGCAGCACGGGCAAATCCGGTTCGTCGTGGTATCTCCGCAATATCGATCACCTGTACGTCGTCGGCCAAATTCTGCCCTCGATGGAGGTGCCCGGGCCGCATTCACGGCGGGTTACGAACATCGCCAAGAATCGTCTGAAGATGGTGTCCTATCGGCTTCTACACCGGAGCGACAACGTCACCTTGACCGATATTACCCGCCATGTTGCCGACTCCAACGAGTCACAGAACCGTCAGAAACTTAAAGAATTTCTCATGTTCCGTAAGGAGCAAAGGAACTGGGTGCTCCCCGAGGGAGAGGAACTCATGCCCGAGTCCGAAATCCGGGAGCTCGTCCGCCCGGAGGAGGTTTGCCTCCTTGACGCGATGCAGATCGGCGCCCACGAGCTTGAGAACGGGGGCTATGAGGTCAACGATGCCGTCTTCAAGGACGACGACTTGATGGACGGCGATGAGCTTCCCCCGGACGCGCTTGCTAATAAAATGGCGCCGTGGCGGCTCACAAAGGCCTTCATCGACGCGAGCCATGGAAAAGCCATGATCGCCGTCCATGGCCCCGGAGACCCGACTGGCAAGGGCCTCGGCGTCAGCTATCTGCGAACCTCTATGAAGGGTGGCTTCCTCGAGCAGCTTCATGGTCCGCTCGCGACCTCTGCCGATGCCATAGAACGGCAGCGCAAGGCGAACGGCGGTCACATGTACAATGTCAAGAATCAGGATAGCCTTTACACAGAATCCCTGCGAGACATCTGGACCCGCCAGAAGCAGAGCCTCGAAGACACACAAGAGCACGACGACGATGACGTTCTCGCCCAGGAGGACGAGGACGAGCGGTTCAACATGCACAACCAAGCCGCCCAGCCTGCGGTCTTGCCGGACGGTGTGAGCCAAGTCAGCCAAAGCCAGGCTAGCGGCCTGAACTGGCGCAAGTTGAAGATCACCCGCGAGGTAAAGGGTGAGGACGGCGAGATACAGACCGTTACAGAAATCGTGCACGATCCGGTGGTGATTGCCCAATATAGCAAGCGGAGGAGGCAGATGGAGTTTGAGAACATTGAGTGAGTGCTCCGACGCGCCTCTAGAAGAACTTTCACTAACAGAGGACTAGTATTTACAACGTAGAACTTACTGGCGATCCCGACAAAGACGATCTCATTCTCGAAAAGTAAGTAACATGACCCACCTCATCGTCCGCACAAGCGCCGAGTGCTAACATTGAACAGGGCCCGCATTGAGCAAGAGCGTCTAGAAAAGAACAAAGAGCGACGCAAGAAGCGCGAAAAACAAAAGAAGCTCCAGCAAAAAATGCGGGATGGAGGCACCGCCGGAGACGAGGGCTCCCCTGAGCCGACCACGGAAAAGGTGACTGGTACGACTCGGAAGTGCGCCACTTGTGGCCAGGTCGGCCACATCAAAACCAATAAGAAGTACGTATGCCCCTTCTGCCTACAAAGGGAAGAGGAAGCATCCAGCTCCCGCCTGAAGGGCCTCATCTACGGCAGTCACCAGAAGTCTGGAAGACGTAGCAGTTGGCGGCCCACTCAGAATCCCCGTGAGGGTGACGACTTCTGGGATCCCCGTTGCTGGGATTCAAGCGCCTTCCAGGCCGAGGTGGAGTCGTGTCCGCGGCGGAAAGGCAAACAAAAGCAAATTGCTCGGGAAGATGCCGAGAATTGGGATTAGGGCCAGAGCATACATCCATCTCTAAACCCAACCCTTCTACCTCGGGCTGCCAGCCACGCCTCACAATGGCGGGGTTGACAGGCCGACGAGGAGATATTCCAGCCAAGTTCGTTTTAGCCTTGTGTCAGAGTAAAAGGATACCACGACCACAATGGGATGGATGACAGGTACCGGCGAAGAAGTTCGGTCAACCCCCAACCCACACCTCCGACTCTTAATCCTTTTTTTCCCCTTATTTATTTTTCTTATTCGTCTCCTCTCCCTTTGGAATAATCCTACTCGTCTCACCGAACTATCTTGCTGACATCGACCCTCGCAAAAGACTCTGCCCGCTGCTCAATGGCTCGCGGCCACGTGATCAAAACCCGGACGATACCTCTAGCTTTGGGTCGACCAATGCCCCGGTCGCTGCCAGTTTTGTCAACCTCGGCTAAACGTATCGACCTTTTGACAGGCCACTGATGGGGATGCGGTGGCCTTGTGGTGCGCTAGGTCCAAGGGCGAGTTCGGGTGGAGGGGGCTTTGAGTTGGGCATTCGGGTTGCGCCTGCGACTACAGCGGGAATTTTTACGATGGGGGACTCATGGCTTTGGGAAAAGGGGGGAAACGCATACCGGCAGCTCGGCTCTCCTGCCCAGGGAAGGGGGTGGCATTCGTGATGGTGATCATCAGGAGGGTGCGTTGGATGGTACGATATTTGGTTGGTGGGATGCTACCCCATTCCGTCAGGGCAACGCCGACTAACGACGGCGAGGCAATTTGTGCTTCGTCATTGAGCATGGGGGTAAAGCGGAAAAGGAGCGCATCATCTTCGGTTTTCACGGCTCTTCCTCTTTTTTTTTTTTCTTTTTTCTTTTTTCCTTTTCGCGGCATTCTGCGCAGGCGTTTGGGAAGGAAGAGGCACATACGGATAGGATGGTGGGACGTTTATATTATCCACCCACCTACGGATGGGGGGAGATGGATGGACATGCATGTGGGATATATCTTTCGGTTTTGGCCCTTATTCGTTGGGGCGCGTCCCGTGAGTCCTGTCCTTGGCAGGGGCCTGCAATAACATACACACCTTGATTCTCGGGGCGTTGCCAAATTTGGGTGTTGCTGCCATGCGTGTGTCGAGTGGGTGTTGTGGTAGGGAGGTAGGTGCTTTTAACACGCGGTGCTGTATGTGTGTGACGGGCGCCGAACTGGGTATGGATGGCGCTACCGCGTGGCTCTGATAGGGCTTGCTGGTGCTTGTTTCTACATATGGGATGGACGTTGGGGGCGGATGGAGTTGTTGATGCAGTGGTGCGGCGGATTGCTCCGATCGCCACGGTTCTTGTTCAACTCGACGGTAAAGCATACGAGGATATCGGATTATGAAATCATCAAAGATGGCGCCTTTCAGCATGCGTGCAGTAGATGAGCGGTTGCACTCTGGTGTAATCACTACTAATAGCCAAATGTCTTGCAGCGTGATTCAGTAGTTCCAGGAGCAAGAAATATTGGCCTGTGACGGCCCTAATACGCAACCATTTACTCGCCGCCCCTTTAAAAAGCCATGGCTAGTCATGTGTTCATCCGACTTTCTTGTGGCTTGTTGACGGGTTCTGGCCGCATGCCCAGAGACCCGGTGATGGGCCTCGGAGTATGTGGCCCGGCCAAGCGGCCGAGGGGCGGTGGAGGGAGGGTCGACACAATAGGTATGCAGTGTCACTGTCCTTGGCCATCTAAGTGAAAACAGTCTGCGAGAAGTTCAACCCGCGTGTGGTAGTGTGTATGTAAAGATCGTCGTCTGTTCTATTCTTTCCTCGTCGCGGCTATCTAATATTGAATGCCCACCCAAATGGAACCTCATCATCATATGCAAATGCAAGCCGCAGCTACCACCTCCTGTGCGATAGACGAGATCTCACCCGTTTGTCACGTCTCTGTCGGTCGACACGTATGCGGCGAGGCTCGCTTTGGTCGATGCGATGTGCGATGGGCTTGCTTACCCGGGCGGGCGGGTCGATGGCTGGCGGTTGAGAAGAGAGGGCGGACGGTGTGCCGTGGGGCTGCATGGTTGATGTGTGTGGATGGCATTCTAGACGCAAGTACCGGCGCTTGCGTTTCTCAACTCGGCTCTCGCTACCGGACGATCGATTTTCCTCCCATCCCCTTCTGGCGTTACCCCGGATGGAATTTGGGGAAGTCGTCGTCATGTTTCTGGTCTAAGTTGGGAACGGGAGGGAAAGCAATTTCAGTTGCAGGTGTGTGGGTGGTAGCTGGCGGCAGTTGGGCCGGGGTTACTAGGGGATGGGGACATGTATGGAATTGCTATTCACAGATGATGAAGGAACGTGATGATGTGATAGACTAGGCTTTGGGTGTCTGTGGAGAGAGAAACAACTCGAACTATTGGCCTTGGAGTGTGTCGGAACCTGTGTCGTCCCTGTTTTCCATGCATGCATCACTGATGAGTTCCATGTTGATGAGCGTCAACTAAAGACAATATCACACCAAGCAAATCTCTACTATTACTATGTTTATCACCTCTGCGCTGCATGGTATGTATGTACGGTGCTTTGGCTAACCGCCGTGATCCCGTCTGGATACGTCTGGACACTACGGCGGGGTGGGATCCGGGCCGTTGGGTCGAGGGGTGCCGTCACCGACGAATCTATTGATTCCAAACAAGCTCGTAAGAGGAGGATGCGAACATGGGCTGGAAAGAGCGAATGGGTGGTCAGCCTGTACCGTTGCGTGCCAGGGAGAAAGAGCGAGAGAGGGAGATGAGATGCTTGGCACTGGTAACAGGAAGGGACGAGATGCATTCGCAGCTGCATCATGTGGATCTTGGTCTCAATTGGTATTGGAGCGCGCCCAAATCAAAGCCCTCACCGCAATGAAAACGAATAATGAACCCAAACATCAGACGTTGTTGATAAAGGCGACGAGGGCTGTTGAAGGGTCCCTCCCCGGAGCTGCAGGTGATTGTGCTAAAAATAGCTAAAAATAGATCCGCGCTTATGCAGAGCCGGAGATCGCAAGCGGGCAAATTGTCCATTTTGCCCAATCGCACTCATTTAACCCCTTCGGCGCTTACAGCCGCCAACTGGGCTAATATTTCGAGCACATTTTGCCAATCACTGAGCGTTTTGACCGATGGCCCCACCACACCACCACCCAATCACTTTCCGACCGAACAGCTTTTGGGATGACTCCACCGAGGCTGCGCCCGCAGCACGCAGGAAGAGGCTTTCTGCGGCAGGGATTCGGGTGACACGATTCGATTCCGACCGCGAGAAGTCATCTGAAAACCGGGGTCAGGCGCGCCGGTGACAATGCATCGGCTGCATCAACGATGCTCCTGACGTGGTTTGCATTTGTCTCTCCTTGACAAGTCTTCGGTTCGAGCCCTAAAGACACGAACGCCAAGGACGTTGTGCAACCACCACCCGCGGGAACCATCTCGACGCCATTCTGCATTTGGAATGTTTCGTTTCACGGCTTGAGACCGATGGCTTTCGAGGCTCTCAACCCGCATCTGTGCATTCCGGCCCTGCGAGCGCCTGCCGTATCTGTTCGATTTTCGTGGGTTGCATTCCCCGAAACGGGACAGCATCACTTCCATCGTACCAAGTACTACCCGGGCAACGCGTAGCCGAAGCGTGCCTTGCATGCCATGCCCATCCCATGAAAGATGCAAACCTCCGCAAGCAAACAAGCGCAAATCAACGTCGAGGTGGCAGACTGCGGCTCTTCCTCCCCAGAACGGCTTGTGATAGAGCCGAGAGGCAGCGCCGCTGAGGCTCTGTGCCCGGGCGCTGAGCAGCCGGATGGGCACGTTGCTGGCCGGGAATCGGGAACGATGGGTCCCGCCGGTCGGATCTGCGTTTGTTGGGACTTGATAGGAAGGAGGGGTATACGCGAGGTCCTCTTGGCCCAAGCTGCAAGGAGCGGCAAAGTCCCTTTGCTGCAGCGCCGCTGCAGATCGAAACTTTGGTCAGCTCCCCACGTGTACGAACCGGTAACTTCTTTGGCCACAACAACGGCGACGTCGACAACATGGTCAGGCACATTTGCAGCGTTCATCAACAGAGCCCTATGGCGAAGGCTCAAGCCGAGCGACCGATACTCAAACCATTGGGAGTTGGCCCGCGAACCTTCCGTTCCTACTCGTTCCGTCCGGCATTTACAACCGGACCGTGGGTGATCTGGAAGGCTTACCCGGGTATATTGACCTGATTTACAGTTCGAGAACCTCCCCGATCGACTGAGTTTCCTACAGTAAATCATGTAATCAAACAGAAACCACACTCACTTTTGGTCTTTGGATTTGGACTGTTGTCCAGTTGACGGTCACGGTCTTGCTTCGTTTCTCCCAATCCCTCGTTTTCCATCTCCGCTTGAGCCTTGCCTCTCGTTCATTATTCAGTCGACACAGCCGCCGAGTCGTCTTTGTTGTGGCTCTTTGAGGGTTCGGACACGGACCTCGCGACATGGAAGCTGTGACCCGGGGCATCAAAGGGGAGCTTTTGCAACTCGATTTTGTGTAGCAAACTCTCGTCTCGAACAGGCCCTTGGATGGTCCGCAGCTGACCAATCGCATCCCTGCTTCGGCTCCCTCGCCATGCCATCCTTGGGGCACCCCCCAGTCGGCGGGCTAGCCAAGCCTGACTCGTGGCTTTCCGGCTTTTCTGCCCCCCTGTTGCAGTGGATCCCCATGCTGAGGTTCCCCCGGGGTCTTGCCTTTTCCCACCCACCGCCCGCCCCTCTGTCCACCTGCCCACCTGCACCCTTCAATGTCTCTTGTCCTCTGAACTTCTGCGATCTATTATTAGCATCACCAGATCCAGCCTCAACGTCGAACTGCTGCACGACCGTCGCCGCAGGTACCGGAAGTATCTTTTGGCTACCCTGGTCGCGAACAAGGGAATTGACGTCGCCCGTTGAAACACGCTTTCCCTTTGACCGCAGCGCACAAAAAGAAGCCAGTCGCCCCATCGCCAATTTGTCGCGTTCCATGAATGTCAGGTGTAGGAAGTAACCATATCAACCGAACCCTTCCACACTAGCAGCCTCCGCCTCGACCCAAGCCTCATCCGAAGAGGTTTCTTTGCCCTTGAAGCAGCACGTTGCCGTCGCACGTCACCACCGTCCGTCATTGGGTGTTGTTGGGACGAACTCTAGCGCATCGTCCTCTGATTGTCAGAGTTGACATTCGCCGAATTCGACCACATCGCTTCGATACCACCGGCCTCTCGCCCGTGGCACCACCGTCACAATGGGTCGCAGAAAGATCGATATCAAGCCCATCAAGGATGAAAGGAACCGCTCTGTGTAAGTTGGCCCCCAGCCCGTAGTTTTTGTCGACCACCACCGCTAACGTGTGGCTTTTGTCTGTAGCACCTTTCTGAAGAGGAAGGGAGGTCTGTTCAAGAAGGCTTATGAACTCTCCGTGCTCTGCTCCGTCGACGTAGCCGTTGTCATCTTTGGCAACAACAAGAAGCTGCACCAGTTCTCGTCGCGCGACATGCGGGAGATGCTCCAACGGTGGACCTTGGTATGTTCTCCCGTTCCCCTAGCTCAATCTCGCACCCTCAGCTAACATGACCACTACGATAGCATGGTGAGCCAAATGAATACAAGATTCCGTCCGATTTCAACGGTGGGATCGAGGACGAGGACGAGGACGATGACAACGGCACTCCCCCGCAAGGCGAGGGCATGGATGCTCAGATGTTTCCGCCTCAGTTCCAGTCGCAGCCCCCGTTCCCCGTCATCCGGCACCACACACCGTCAGCCTCACCCCCGATCTCTAATGGCGTCTTCGGGCCCCGAGGCCACACCCCGCAGCCCCAGATGGGTTCCCGGCCGTCGTCACGAAACGACATCCGCCGAATGGGGCCGAACATGGGCCAACCGGTTGGGCCACCGGGCTCGCAACCGGGCGGAGTGAACGGCTACGCATACATGCCACAGGCGGCCATGTACAACGCCCAGAATTCCCACAATATGCAGCCAAACCATGCCCACGGCCTGCCACAACCGCACCAGCCGTTTCCCTACCCCCAGCAACAGCCGCACCCACACCAGATGCAGCCATACGTGGACGAACAGCGAAGGACATCGGGACCTGCTTCCTTCCCTCACCACCCCCAACAGCAAGCTACGCAAGGGACCCGCCATTCCGTGTCCCCCCCGCAACCTTCGCCAGCACAACTACCTCCGCAGCACATGTCTCCGCCGCCGCAACCGCAAGCTCATCCCGCTCATCCTATGCATAGCCCGCCTCAACCTCAACAGCACCTACCGCCCCAATCTCAACCTCAACAACATCTGCCGCCGCCACCACCGCCGCCGCCGCCGCCCCAACCACAGGAGATCCCTCACATTTTTGTCCCGCCCCAAGAATCGCAGCCACCTGCATCCGGGGAGCCGAGACAGAGGCCTGAACTGGTAGAGAGAGCGCGGCAACCCCTACTCCTGGACACCAACATCAAAAAGCAGGCGCCTCGAAAGGGTGGCAGTATCTTCACGCCTATTGATGAGAATCGGTCGGTTCTTCTCACAGCATCTCGGCGGCATTCCATTCTGGAAGTGAAGACAGAGCCGTTCTTTCTAGCCGATTCCAATTCGATTGACGCGGGGCAGTG